CCCCCCTCTCATGTTTCTCTCTCCACATCCCACCCCTTCCCCCACGTATCTTGCACAAGAGAGCAATAAGTCCACCATTGACAACCATTAAAAAGTTTTGAAGCTTTGAATCAATTTAATGCTATGAAACTTAAAGCTTTGAAGTTCATTAACGGATGGTTCGAAGATCAATTAACAAAAATATTTATTAGTTGTTCAAAATTTTGTAAGTTCACTGCAATATTTTGCACAATCTAGCTTGTCACCTACATATTCGATGTCAGAGAAAAGTTTAGCTTTTTCTTTTGTTTGTTTCCCTTTAATTCGAATTTGGATTTTCGAAAAATATTATTTGTTTGAATTGGGTTGATGCTTTTTTACTTCAATACCACACAAGAGGAAGTGATTTGTGCGGTGACCAATTTTTCGCTTAAGCTGTTTATGGAAGGACCTGGTTCTTCTAAGTGTTTCTTAACCTACTATTGCAGAAATAGTAAATGAGAAAAGTAATTACGTGGAAAACACCTGGCTCAAAAGGTAAAAAAACCACGACCTACTTTCCAGTAGGATTTTTCCAAACTCTCCACTAAAATCACTTAGCCAAAAATTGCATTTACAAAAACTCTTTTGTAAACCTAGGACTAACTCTAATCCCGTTGTAGCACACAACCTCAACTGTTGCGACAACTTCAAGTTAACTCTAACTTGAAAGCTCTGAGTACCTATTACAATTGCCTCTAGAAAAAGCTAAAAGGTACAATATAAAACCACCTACTACAATTGAACTAGAATAAAAGACAGACACTTGGAACTGGTTCAAGTAGCTTCAGGTTTGCACAGTTGAATCACACACGAATTGCTTGCAAAATTGCCTTGCTATTTTGCTCTCAATTCACGTTTAACTTCTGCTTTTATGTGTTACCTGTAATAGAGAACAACACCGATATTTATAGAGTTAGTAAATAGAGATTGACTAGAATTATGATGTTACTCTTTTTTGGTGGAAGAGTTCTAGTTGATCTCAACTTCTAACTCCTTCCCTTTCTTAACCTGTGTTCTCTTTGAGCAAGGAGTTCTTCTCCTTATCCAATATGCAACCTTTTCAATCAGGATCAGGAGATATTGCTTCTAGAAAGTTAGGTTTATCTCCTTCACGTGCATCTCACATGCTTAAGTCTATTCGTATCTGTGCTCCACTGGGATGGACCTGGTTTATGTCTGCGTTCCTTTGTCAGTCTTCAAAACTAACCTTTACTTGGGTCAACATGGGTGTTGTTGCAAAGAATTGAGATTCTCTCTACGTCTCTCTCTATCTCTCAATCCCTAATTTCAGTAATGTAAAACAAAGGAAAAGAGAGCAGCAATTCCACCATTGACAGCCATTAAAAAGCTTTGAATTCGAATTTGAATTTTCAAAAATCATTATTAGTTTGGATTGGGCGTTGTTGCAAACAATTGGGAATATAGTTTGGAGTTTATATCTCAATTTTGAGGGTGTTTTGGTGAAGATTAGACTTGATTTTAGCTGATATTCAGATTGAAACTCGAAGAAGAAGAAGAAGAAGAAGAAGAAGAAGAAGAAGAAGAAGAAGAAGAAGAAGAAGAAGAAAAAAACATGATATACATTATATTTA